CGTTGTTCACGTTCCCCTCCCCTGAAAAGAACTCAAGCATTGAGAACCGCTGGTCCAAGTCAACGCTCTGAATGAAGCTCAGCAGGAGCACGATACCGAGTAGTACCTGGGCCAATCGGCACGTGAGGGGCAGCATGAAGGTATTTAGATATTCATGCATGACTGTGTGACTGCTTTATTGTAATAAGACCCACGCTTTCGGTGCACTAAGGTGGGCCAAAGAAAGCAAAAGGCTTTCCTTTCTTGGAACCCCCTTCCATTGCTTAGCTTGCTCAGTTGAAGCAGGCATTGTTGACACTTGCAGGACAAATGGCTCTACCCTGCACCAGCAAAAAGATGGCTACAACGGTTTGAGGCAAGGAGTCGTTTCGAGCATCACTTGTATAGGGATTGAAATCGAGCTGGCATCCGACCTACAAACCCCGGCCAGGGTCTGGCAGAATAAAAGAAAGCCAGGTAGACATGAGGATGCCGCTCTTGTCGCAAACTTGTCGAAGGTCTTGACCATAGCTCGCACCTGCGAGGGCTTGATGCGACGGCTGGCATGTAAGTAATAAAAGTGAGCTGTGGATTCCCTTTCGCGGTCTTTTTGCACATCCAGGATCAATCGCCAGCTAGGGTCTAATGCACAGCTAGCTCACCCACTGAACCGCCTGTGTATGAGACAGGTTGCTCATAGCTATGGCAGCTACACCCCACACAATTGCTAGCCTACAAGGCCTACCCAGCGGCTTCACGTGTACCCGGAATGCATCACGACAAAAGGTGTAGTGAGGAAAGGTCTCCACCACCACCATCACTTGGTTTCAGCGTATGCCTTGATCGGTCATATGTTAGTTATGGTTGCAAACAAGCTCAACTGCATATATGCAAACATATGTGCAGCACATTTCAACTACAAAAAACCATACCCCAAGTGTGCAGATTAAGTACAGCTTTTGCCAACTGCTTGCATTTCTCTTCGTCATTGCCCTTCTCCTTGGCAGCCCTGAAAGCCTTGTGATAGGCAGCCGATTTCCTTGACAATAGCTTCTTTTTCTCAGCCTTAGCCTCATCCTGGTCCTGGTCCCCTGCCTGCCTCTTGCGAGATGCCTTCGGCTTTGGCGCTGGTGTCTTCTTAGGCGACGCCTTCTTCTTTTCGCGCTTCTTGGGTGAAGCTTTTGCCTGAGTAGCCCTAGTAGCCTTTGCCTTAGCCTTTGACTTCACTTTCTGGCTCCTTGCCTTGGCCTCTCCCTCTCCCTCTGCCTCTTCCTCTGCCTGGTTCTTGGGTTTTCTGCCTCTCTTCTTCGGAGGTTGTTGTGTGCTTGGATCGATCGTTCTTGAGTTGTCCCAACCGTCAGGTTTCTCCACCTCACCCTTGCCATCCTCCTGTCTCCTTTTCTCTCTCCTCTCCCTCCGTGTCAGTTGTACCTCCGACAACGCCCCTCCCCGCTTGTTGGATGACTGGGTCCCAACAATCGTAGTCACCTGGGGTAGATTGCAGGGGCCTGTGAACTCTTGAATCTTCTCGAAGATCTGTACCTGGGACATAGTTAGCTTGAATTGCTTGGTGGAATCTTCTGGGCTTGTTCTGGTGGAGTGCGTGACTTGTTGACTGCCTGCGACATTGCTGATGCTCGCTTGCGTGCTGCCTGATGTTTGCTCATTTGCTTCCTGTTTGCTCTGCGTTGTTTCATGTGTCTCTGGTACTCTGCCTGCAGTGCTCTCTTTTGGTGCCTCAGGTGATGTTGGTTCTGGCTCAGCTGGTGGAGCGCCAGTCCTTTCTGGCTTGCTGTTGTCTCCCACTGCCCCTGGTTCCCCACCCAATGAAACACAGCCAGCACCACCGCCGTCCAATAGCTGCGTCTCGACGTTGTCGATGTCATTGCCTTATATCGAGCGAGCTTCAAAACGAAAACATATGGATCATAGAAACGTGCGCAAAAAAGTGATGATCGAGTTACCTCATTTCCAGGTTGCAAACAGGCTACTCATTTTGTTGAATTCCTTTTCTTCCTGTTGCGCCTTGATCCTTTGCGTGTGATTCAGCTCGGTAAGTAGCAGTAGCAACCCCTGAAGCTTTTGGAGAGCTTGAAGTCTGTCCATGTCATTCTGTGACGGTGGTTGCTCCATCTCGACCATTTGGCCTATTTCATGAATAGGGATGTCCATGCATACAAGAATGACATCCCAAAGGATTTGGTGGAAATTTTTGGTGCGATTCTGATGTTTTCCTGCCTGGAGGTGGATCCATCAGACCACTCGGATTGCCCAAAGCCTCGGACAGCTCTGGCGATGGCTTGGCAGCGGCCTCCAGAGCACGAACCTTGGCTTGGAAACGGGAAGGCGGCGCCGTAGAATAAACAGGGCCAACTACGCATATGCTTTACAGCGATCTTTTGATCCAAGACAAGAAGCTTCTTCATGAACATCTGGTTTTCGTCCATCACCAATCTCTTCCTTGCAGCCGGGTTCATACTGTAGCGCATGCATGCACATGCAAAGAAAACGTGGTGCAGTCATGGCTCATTCGGAGTCTCCACCTTTTCTGGGGGTGGGGCTTCTTGAACTGGATCACCGCCACCAGCAGGTTGGTCAGCATCTTCAATACCTGAGTTTCGAAGCCGGAAACAAACTGCACAGTTTGGACAGCAGGATTCAACCCTATGATTAACATGGGAGCTTGGGTACATGGATCCTCTTCAACTTCACCCTCGCTTTCATGCCCTTCCTCCTGATCCTGCCCATCCCCCAACTCTTCCATGGAAGAAGATCCGTAGAGGGACAAGTCGATACCAGTATTGGCCATCAGAGTTCGTAATGCAGGCTCTCGGGGCAAATGCACACGGCGACAAATGTCGTTGTAGATCGACATGCATTTTTTCAATACCCAGGCTTGGGTATGGCAAACTCCACCTTAGCACGGAGATAGGTACAAACTGAGTGGGGAAAGCGAGGGTCAATGTCTTGTGGATCTACATAGCTGACATAGCTGAAACATGGTGATTCTTTTTTTTGAGGATTTGAGGACTGAACTCTGAATGGGCACATCCATGTAGTGATATAGTGCCATCAGGTGCATGTGGATCACATCAACGCTAACCCTGCTTCCAATTCTGTTGATGGCAAGTTCGAGAACTTTGGCGTTGTTGCAGAGACTGTCTCTGGTAACGACGTCGCCTTCCACCTTCACCTAGGACACTCCACATGCGTGAGACCACAGTCCCTGCAACGTGAAGACATGTGAGGAGTTGCCTCAAATCACTACGCAGAAGATTGACTAACATGTTATAAAGGAACCCAGTTGCGGCTTGCAGTTCCCGCGCACAAAGACGGATGTCTTCATCCTTCTCCCAATCACCGGCTAAATTTGTACCAGGCTCTCTTTTAGGCATGGTTTCAACGAACAAAGAGCTGCACTCACTTTGGGCCAAAAAGGGACTATGAGAAGCATACATATCCATGCATGCCTGCAGTAATGCATACTTGTGCACCATCACAATGGTCCATGCACAGCGACAAGGCCCACAAACCCCCACCGCTCCAAGAACCACGCGCAGTGACAAAACCCCAAAACAACCAAACACCCAGCGCTCCAAGCGGGCAGCGTACCTTAAGATCCAAAGATGGAGATGCCACCGCTGCCAACCACAGCCTAGGCTGCTGAATGTTGCTGCCAAATGTTGACCCATGTTTGGATGGCCAGGTGTACAGACATGACGAACACATATCTCCTAACAGTGACGGCGTGGTCTGATAGTGACAGTGTGCCCTCAACAGCCCTTTGCATGCAAGAAGCTAGGTGTCAACGTGCTTCCCCAGTCAACCCCATTGGCGCCATGTTTCCTTAGTTGCGGGAAGCACAAGCCACTAAAACAAAAAATAGTGATATCCGATATCACAACTCAAGGTACCTGAAGTAAGCTACTTAAGCTTTCCTGAAGATTCATCATCATGAATCTTTCCAGTTGTTCTCGGTGTTTACCTACTTTTCTCAAAACTTATATACAAGCCACCATCGATGGGTTTTACACTGGCAATTTTCCTCTTGGGTTGGCCAAGGACGGGGCCATGATGCAAGAAATGCGGGCCCCAAATCGGTGTTCATCTGGGCCTGCATTTCTTGCATCATGGCCCCGTCCTTGGCCAACCCAAGAGGAAAATTGCCATTTTACACACACAGACCTGTGTCAAAGACCGCGAGGAAAATTGAGCCCAGTATCGGCTGCAAACCCCAAGCCGCATGGCCACCAGTCTTGAGCCAAGGAATGGATCATCGACGAGGGCCGTTGCGTACACTCACAAACATTCACACCCTGAACATCTCCAAAAACCAGGAGTTTAAGTAGTTCCAGTTGTTTGGCACTCAAAAGCCATCGAGTTTTGAGAAAAGTAGGCAAACACCGAGAACAACTGGAAAGATTCATGATGATGAATCTTCAGGATAGTATTTTTAGATTATAAAGAGATCCAATAGTATTCTATAGAAGATAGATATGGTTATTGTTAGAACCCAGTCTGAGCTTCGTGCTCCATATATGATACCCAGACACGCCTCATGGGACTGCCATGTGTCCTGTGTCGTCGTGTGTGAGGCTTAAGCCTCCACCGGAGCCTTAAGCCTCAATGGAACTCATGACAGGACATTCTACTACTCATTTCCAGTCTCCAGAACCAACCAGCTAAGCTGAAATGCTTTGGGTCTTTCCAAAGACCTGTCCGAAGACCATGGTCCGGTCCTTTCTGCCGTGAGAACAACGTCCATGCGTCGCTTGACCGGCTTGACCTTGGTGCCACGCGTTGCCCACGCGTTGCGGAAGCACCGAGTGCCGTCCCAAACCGCAAAAAAACCGGTCCGAAGGAGTCGGTATCGCCGGGTTTTTTGGGCTTCGGTGATTTGCTTCATGTGTCCCGAACAGGGTGAAGCTCCAAACCTGGGGAATATGATAAACTATGCGTGTTTGGTGAGTCAGACGCGTCCTGGCTTCGCAACACCTGGCGTATCTGCACAAACCTGCCAGGACTTGCCAAATGCATTACCCAAGAGTGCCCCGGCCATGGTGGGACCCTCAGGATTTGAGCCCCGGAGCCATTAGCCCAGCCATCGGCTTCTCCACATCCAACATACCACCACCCAAAGGGTGGTGGTCAGGGGGGCGTCTATGGGTGGGTAACATTTGCTTAAGCAGCGGCTTCTGGAGCTGCTTCCAGTGCGTTTCCGGCAGCCAAGAGCGCAAAGAATGCCACGTCTTGCAGCCATTCATAGGCAAAAGCTCCTGAACAGGGTGGCTGCTCACCTGTTCCTGGACTACCATGAGATGCCATTATGCGAGGGCCGTGGCAAAGCCTTCCAAGTAACTACAACCCATAGTTGCCTTTCAAGGAGACAGGATTCTCTTGTTCTTTCGGGAGAGGGCTGTGAAATACGAGTCCTCTTGTTCGTTTCATTCTTGGTGTTCGACTCCTTGTGGCGAGGAAGACTCCTTGTTCAGTCAGCTAGACTTCATTTACGCTGGCATGGTGAAGGCAAAACCAGACAGCACAAGGCCTTGAAGTTGAAGTAGAGACCATGAAACGCAAAGGTTAAGCTTAAGTACATACAGCTGGGCATGGTAGGGGAACAATGCAAGGGCAGTCTTGAAGAGCCTTTGCGTGAAAGCAGACATCATGGTGCAGAAAATACTCACCATGCATCAAAAACACCCCTTGCCGCTAGGCAGCCATAGTGTCAACGAAAGTCATTTGCGCTTCCACGTAGTCATTAGTGCATCAAGCTTTGAGGAATTAGAACCGCTGTACTTCATCCATGCCCAAGAGAAGGGGGGTATACCCCTTCTCTTGCCACGAAGCTGCGAGCTGTAGACTCTAGTAGTCTAGGTCAAGCCCCTTGACCATCTATACCCATAGACCATCTATAGACCATCTATAGCCATAGCAAAAACCACCATCCAGGTGCGGAACTTGTTGCGGAACCTGGAGCCGACCATGCGCTGCGAGGCCCGAGATGCGAACCCTGACCGGCCGAACTGCCTGACCCTCCCCCCACGGCAGGGACGATGGGACGATGAATAGAGGGGATAGACACCCAAGTGGTGTAGTAACCATGTGGTGTTAGGCACCGACCCCTCTACTTTATTCCCAAGGCCGGACATGATTCACTCCAGCATGGAGGCCTTATTGGCACCGGAGCCCTTCAACAGCAGCGCGCAGAAGGGTGCGGTCCTGGTTGCGGCGGAGGTGGCGACCGGGTCTCCTGGGAGTTTGTGGGTAGGGATCGACGTTTTGTGGAGATTGGTGGATGTGGTACTTATACATCATTGTTCAGTAACACTATGGTACTATGGATACCCTGCATCAGATGTGTAATAAAGATTGGAGTTGTGTTCGAAATCAGTCTTGGAATGCATGAATATGACAAATGTGAGATTTTGATCAACATGTTTAACTGTGTTAAGATTTCTCAGGTCAACCAGTCCCAGTTCATATGACGACATACTAGCCACGTCACGAAAGTATGGCCAAAAGATTGAAACGGGTCAAAACTGTGAGAAGAAACAGCCTAGATGGGAGTAGAGCCTCAAAATGGAACACAAAACACAACTAAACTGTGGCAGCAGACGGACAGCAACTGGCAGCTGTGAAATACACTACAGAGTCAGAAGCTGGGACTGTGCAAGAAGCATTAATAAGCTAAAGGATGCTAAAGGCAGAATAGTTGTTTTTTAATAGCAAAGTATGTCAAGACAATAAACTGCACAGAAAGAAGTTAGACACATGATGGAAAGCTGAAGCCGTTGATGGATAATGATGGAAAGGTGCACACAAATGTTGGAAAGGTGACAATAAATGATAATATCCGAATTGATGAGCAATTCTATGATGATCACCGGTGATAATGTGCCAAAAGGTGAATGTCAAATGTTCATTTCCAATCCTATGCAAACCTGTCCTATTTAGGGGTATGAATTGATGTTCACACGCATGGTTCTATATAGACCCCAAAAAAAATAGATAGACAAGTAGATCGTAGATCCCCATCCAAACATGTATTAGACACTGCCACGAATGCTCTTTGGGGACCACGAATTCTATACATCAAACGCATACATCGGTCTGCTACGTCGTCGATTTGGATGTTCGATATGCCGACCGTACCGTCCCCGGCGTCCTTGTTCACGGTGCTAGTTACACATCCTCAGCTCAGCGCAATAGCTAGCGCATGGGACGTACATGGTAGTACATCATCCTCCAGATTTTCGAGTGTCGATGTGCCAAGATGCCAGGTTGCATCTTCAGACTGCCACCAGACTCAGGTGGCAGTCTGTCCTGCCACGGACCGTGCCCTGCTTACGTGGACGGTGGATGGACCCATCGGGCTCCCCGAGTCGAGCAATGTCGACAAAGCGACCCTGACGTCACCGGCTTTGACATGAAAAAGACGGGTGTCAAGTAGATTGGCTGAACAGTATTCCCTCAAAATCGAGGATCCTAAATCATGAGTGATCATTCGTGGGAGCTTTCTGGAAGAAGCGTCTTCGCTCTCCGTCACCTGGCTGGTAGAGTACTAGTACCAGTAGCTACCTAGCGGACCTAGCTACCTCGTCTCATCCTGGCAGTCCTGGGCCTGCGAGTTGGGCGAGCTCCTGCAGAGTGCACCCGAGTGGACGGTGAGGCGGACGGACCGGGCGGACCGGAGGGAGGACCGGGCGGTGACCGGGAAAAAGCACCGTTTGGGCCACTAGCTGCTACTAGTAGTAGCCTTTTGCTAGCTACGTACGTAGCTTCTTGCTAGTATAGTAGTCATTTAGGATTATTTAGTAAGGTATATTCCTGGGTGATGAGGTTGGGCTTTGAGTTATTGTTTCGCTTGGTGGATGGTTTGAGATTGTATTTGGAGATTCACCCCGTGTCGAGGGTGTGCAGAGGCTCGGGAGGGTCTTGAGAGATGAGAGTGAACGCGAGTTTGCGTTGAGCCTCGGATCCTTGAACCGTGCATATATCTTAGACTTGATATATCTTAGTCTTTGAGATCCTTGAACCGTGGTTCATATACACTCTAGCCAGACTTGATGCGATTGAAGCATTTGTTGCTGCCCCGAAAGCAGTTTGACCGTTCGATGGTCAAACTTCGTTGTTGCAGTTCCGACCTAGAAACCCTTTGCGCTACAATCAAGCTACAGGGGGGATCTTATGTCCGCTCCATGGCCGGTTTGACCAGATATACGGCAATGCTTGTGGCAAACGTGCGGCGGACGCCGCGGGAAGACCCTGAAGAGGGCAACCGGTACCGTGGCCGTCATGTGGATATGTCAAGATCATTCAAGATTACCCCGACCCTTACCTAAACGCTTTATATATGAAAGATTATGAAAGTAAGCATAAAAAAATGAAACACCAGTTCAGGCACGATTGAATAAAGATAATATATCACTAGATAACAACTGAATACCAGATCGGTGTCATCCATGTTGGATAATCTTTGATGCTACTTACCTTCTCCAGGGATCCACATTCCTTCTCAGAAGGTGCTTGGACCCTCCTATCGCCTATCATAGGGTCTATATATGTTCATTTGTTCCCAACACCACCGATCGGCCCCTGAAAGTGTGGATTGCGCAGTTTGGACACACACCTTCGGGTCAGCGGCACTGGTGACACAGTCCATTGGTGACATGGATCAAATACTGGCTTCGGCCAAGTCAATGACAGCAAGTGATTGCTGAGATAGTTCCTATACTTCAGTTGATGAAAGAACTTATAGTGTAATATGCGTTTATTGTTTGCTGATAGAATTCTTTCCATGAGGCTGGCTCGAAGTAGGTTTGCCTAGGCCCTGGGCACTCTTGGTGCAGCATGTGAGAGCCTATGGTCCAGATTCGTCTTGCGTCTGGTGCACTCCTCCCTGTGAATCAGGATGAGTTGAGGCAAATGGTGGCTGGTGGAAAGTTGGTCATAGACTTGAAGCACTTCATTGCAGCTCAAACGGGATATTCCATTTTTCGGCAAAGACTCTTCGGTGAACATCCTCAGGAATTGCAGGAAGACCTTCCTTTGACAGACCTACAAAGTGTTCAGTTGGTATTTGTGGGATTTGTGCCTGCTGATGGGGCACTTCTGGAAGCGTGCCGTTGCCAACAGTTAAGCAGCGTGAGAGAAGTTGAACGTTTGCTTCAAAGACCACATGATCCAAACGACAGGGGTGCCGGTCGGCTAGCTCCTATTCACTATGCAGCTGGATCTGGCAACTTTGAGGTTGTGCAGCTGTTGCTGGAGGCTGGAGCCGACAAGAATGCAACAAAACCAAATGGTGAAACTGCTTTGCATGCTGCAGCTGAAAAGGGCCACCATGAAGTTGCGCGGGTGTTGCTGGAGGCTGGAGCCAATAAGGATGCAGCAGACATGAGAACTGCTTCAACGGCTTTGCACCTTGCAGCCCGTTATGGCCACTATCAAGTTGTTCAGCGGTTGCTAGAGGCTCAAGCTAACACAGATGCAGCAGACTCCTGACTGGTTCAACTGCTTTGCACGTTGCAGCTTGTCGGGGCAGAGTTGAAATTTTGCGGCTGTTGCTGCAGGCTGGAGCTGACAAAGATGCAGCAAAGGCAAGTGGTGCAACCGCTTTGCATGATGCAGCCTTGAATGGCCACTTGGAAGTTGTGCGGCTATTGCTGGCAGCTGGAGCTGAAAAAGATGCAGCAAAGGCAAATGGTGCGACTGCGTTGCATGTTGCAGCGGCACAGGGTCACACCGAAGTCATGCGGGTGTTGCTGGAGGCGGGAGTTAACAAGGATGCAACAGACACGAGAAGTAGTTCAACTGCTTTGCACCTTGCAGCCAGTTTTGACCATTATCAAGCTGTCCAGCGGTTGCTCGAGGCTCAAGTTGAGAAGGACGCAGCGGACGAAAGTGGTGCAACAGCTTTGCATTTTGCAGCGAGGAATGGCAGCTTTGAAGTTGTGCGGCTGTTGCTGGAGGCCGAAGCCTACAAAGATGCAGTAAAAGCAAATGGTGCAACTGCGTTGAATGTTGCAGCTGAAAAGGGCCACGCTGAAGTCATGCTGGTCTTGCTAGAGGCCGGAGCTGACATGGATGCAGCAAAGGAAGATGGCACAACTGCTTTGCACTTTGCAGCTGAGGGTGGGTACTTTGAAGTTGTGAAGCTATTGCTTGAGGCTGGAGCTGACATGGATGCAGCAAAGGAACATGGCGCAACTGCTTTGCACCTTGCAGCTGAGGGTGGGTACTTTGAAGTTGTGCAGCTGTTGCTTGAGGCTGGAGCTGACATAGATGCAGCAAAGGAAGATGGTGCAACTGCTTTGCACTTTGCAGCTAAGGGTGGGTACTTTGACGTTGTGCAGCTGTTGCTCGAGGCTGGAGCTGACAAAGATGCAAAAATGCTATGTTCAGGTGCAACTGCTTCGGACCTAGCAGCTGGCCTCGGCTTTCTTGACGTTGTTCGCGTGTTGCAGGAGGCTTAGCCGACAAGGATGCGGAAAAAGCACATCGAACAATCAATTCAGCTGGTCGGCAGTGACATGCCGCGACTGCTGAGTGCAAGAGCAATTCTGCAAAGTTTGCTTAACGGTTACAGCTACCTTTGGAGTATGTCCACAGGGCCCCGTTGCCTGCAAAACATGTTTATATATAAAATCGTGTATAAATTTGTATATTATGCCTAGAAGCTGAGTGACCACTGTGTTGGAGGATCAACTCTCCAAAACTATGGCCTTTCAAAAGGGAGGTCAAGTGGAGGAGTCTATATGATATATATATATATATATACGTGTGTGTGTTGCACCACCACAGTGCTTGAGTTTGGGTAATTACCTCAAACATAAAAACACATTGGACCTCCTATTGGCCTCCTCTTGTCCCACCAAAAAGTGTCCTTTGATTGGTCCTTGTGTGGATCCACAACAGTTCTTAGCGTGATGTCAGGCAATGTTTGTTTTTTTCTCTCAGGTCTTGTGTATATGATTGTATATGGTTTCTTTGGAAAAGTATAGTTGTTGTTGTTTTTTAATGATGTTATTTCTTTTAGTGTACTGCCTGAGTGTGTTGCTAGCATGTGCATGTGGTCTTTGTCTTGTGTCATTGCTTTAGTTCTTTTAGTTTTTATTGTTTTGTTTTTGATTTATAGTAGTGTGTATGTGCTCCTCAGTATGTGCTTAGTATTCTCCAGCTCTTGGAGGGTGTCTTATTGTTTTTATTTTCAGAGTGGAGCTCGCCACCCAAGCAGCCAAGGCTGATTGCTATGAGCCGACCGGTGTTTAAGCGAGATCCCTCCCAAAGACCCCTCAAGGGACCCCAAAAAACAGACTACTGTGAAATACTGTAGACCTATTTGTTGGGAGGTCTCTCTCTCTCTACACACCCTTCCACTCCTTGAAATCATCACGGAGGTGGAACAACAAATCCATCTCTTTGGTCTTTGGAAACCGTCCGGCGAAACCAACTGGCCATCTGGCACCCGTCGTGGGTTCGGTGCATCGGTGTTGGACACCGCGTTCGCCCGGTATGACGAACGAATGCTAGGAACCGTAACGTTCGGACATTAGTATACTAGTAGCGAGGGCATTAATTAGTATATACTGTATACTAGTATACTAGTAGTAGCAAGCAGCAAGAAGCTTACTATAGTTCAACGAGTCGAAGACTTCAAGTTGGACCCGGAGCGGGCCAGGCAGCATGGGGAATGGGCCCTTTGCAGCAGCCTCGAAAGGTGGGACGTAGGGACAACGTGCGCGGTGTGCTCGAGATCGTCCACCTTCTGGGATGAATGTTTGAGTCTAAGACGAGGGATCGAAACGTTACTGCAAGTTCATGTTGGACAGGAAGCATGAGGTCTACAAATATCTACAAGCTATGTTGGATGTTCTTTGGATTCCACGGATTCTACGTACATCACTCCTTGGACTCATGGAGATGTTGCGTCGGTGCACGGTCTCACATCTACAATGAGGAAAGACTTAAAGAAGTGTTATGACTTGGAGATGCACGGAGACCTATTTCAGGCACCCCGTCGGATGGATCAAGCGCTTGCTTGGCGGGTGGAACAATGCTTGGTTTCATGTTTTCAGCCTTTTGGGCGATCATCAAATGACTCACATGTTGTTTATTTGTTTTTCTGCTGGGAAACCACCCACCATGTGTGAGTACAGTGCAAAGATAGAAAGTGACTCCTTTCTTGGAGGCAGGTTATGGCTGCCACTAGAAATCGCTGCACAGCTGAAGGTGTGGTGTTTGCGTGGTTTTACCCAGCTGCCGCCTTTTCGCGCCCCAACAAAGATCCTTTTAAGGAATAGTGAGGGAGCCAAATCACCAGCCTCTTGATGTGAAGGGTGCGAGCGTCCTGCACTCCTGTACGAGCTTTCTTCTGTGCGAGCGTCCTGCAAGCAAGTACTGCAGTTGGAAAGCCCAGCCAGGACACCCAGTCATTGGACACCCAGTGGATGGTCCTGAGATGTATATATATATATATTGGGTTTGTCCGTTCTTACCTGTAACAGTCAGTAAACAAGAACATCACTATTTTTGAACAAGGCCTTTACAAACCATTTTCATCCACTGTTACATGTATTAAAATTAGGATAGACCCAATAAATATATATATACATACATACATACATACATACACACACATACATACATACATACATACATACATACATACATACATACATACA